GGGACAGTCCAATACATGGACGTGGGACAACTGGTTACTGACATGGGAGAAAAGGGAAATTGGTTTCCTGACTTACACCGTAAGTGAAAATCAATTATCTAGCAGAATAAAGACTTAAATAAAAATGTAAAACTATAGACCTTTAAGGAGAAAATATAGGAGACTACCTCTATGACATTAAGGTAGGGAAGGCTTTCTTAGACAAGATCACAAAGCACTGACAGCAAACAACCACGATGAAAAGCTTCACTGACTTGGTCCTGGAGCCCCCAAGACCAGTTACCCATCCATAAATTTTGATTTAGGAATGCACTTCCTGTTTCCAAGCACCTACCCCGACACCCTAGGTGAACTATAAATGGTCCCAGTGGCCCCTAGGCGGTGCAGAGTGCAGCTGCGAATGCTTCCGGATGGCTGTCCATCCGATCCCACCCTGCGAGTATGTTACCCTATAATAAACCGATCCACCAATTACATGGAGCTGCCTGCCTCAGTTTTGCATCACAAGATGCCTTCTCAGTTTGGTGGGCACTCTTCGTTTCCTCCATCCTCCAAAAGAGCTATTTGCCACTTATATAACCAAAAAAGGTTTAGTGTTCAAACACACATAAAGAACATAAATAAGACAAACAATCCAATAAGAAAATGAAGAGCTATTCCACCAAGAAAAGCGAAAAACTTTTGAAAAGATGTTTAACTTCTCTAATCAGAGTAATGCAGAATCATCATGAGACACCATTTCAACACCCTGTAGGCAGACAAAAATTAAATTTTCTGATGATATCAAACATGGGCAAGTATATGCAGCAACAGGAACTCTAATATACCACTGGGAGAAGTATAACCTGCCAGTAGGAATGGTAAACACCTTTACAACTTGGCATCATATTGTAAAAAGTGAAGAGGCCTACACCAGATGTTCCAGGAATTCCACACCTTGTACAAGTGTACCCACAACATACACAGGGATGTGCAGCAGCCAACCCTGTTTTTTTAGAATTACACATATGCCCACTGATAAGGGGAAAGGAAAAATGCATAATACACTCTCACAACTGTAAGAATAACTACCACATCACATATCAATATGGGTGACTCTCAAAACAGTGTTAACTGAAAAAAGCAAGTAAAATAAATACAAGAGGTATGAAGCCATTTCCACAGAGATCAAAAACATGCAAAGTTACACAGCTTAGCATCAGGAGGCAGCACACAGGTAGACGCTGGACAGTGAGAATACTCTATTTCTTCAGTTGGAGGATGGGCTCGGAAACGCTGGCTTTGCTTCATAACTCACAGATGTCATATAAGTTTTTGGTATCAAACACTTCATTCTTAAGTTTTTAACACTAGCGAAAAAGAGATGCTGAATGAATACACAACAAACTTTTACAGTTATTATGCTGAGGTCTGGGTAATACAGGACTTTTACTATCTGTATTGCTCATTTCTGGACCGTTTCAAACTGCTACAATTAACAAGTAATATGTTTGGGGAGAAATGACTGCAGAAAGGAAAACAAACTGCAAAGGAATCTGGGGCCTCTTATGATGAGGGGCAGAACTGTTTTCAACTTGTGCAATTTCTCCAGGATGTCCTAAATTAAAACTATTCTGACGGTGAAAAAGAATATGAAAATGAATATACGTACATTCACGTATGACTGAAAAATTGTGCTGTACACCAGAAATTGACACAACACTGTAAACTGACTATAACTCAATTTAAAAAACAACTATGCTGAGCATTCTCTTCGGGTTAAATCTGTAACATACTGAGAACATTTCCCAACAAAAATGAGTTTTAAATAAATGTTGGTTTTTACTGAGAGCATGCATACTACTGTTATTAACAATTCCTGGCTTCCTTTAATTTTCATTTTATTTATCTGCCTTTGGCCCATTTTCCCAAAATTCTGCACTTTCAGTTTTGTTTCTTTTTTTTTACTATACTGTAAACTAACATGAATCCTCCTCCATGTAAATAAGTTAAGCAATAACTGACTCCACTGCCCAGGAGCCCGCTTTCCGTTCTCTCCCGAGCATCAGTGCGGGGCGCCCCGCGAGCCCCGAACTACCTGGCACGACCGGGCAGAGGGCGACCGCGCTTGGGGCCTCTCAGCTCCAGCCCCTGCGTTCGGGCGGGGAAGAACCTGCCCCCGGGCCTTCGGGACCCCGCCCGCGACCTAGGCCCCGGGGCCAGGCGCCTTACTTGCCGCTCTCCACGCCGTGGCCGGAACGCGGCCAAGTAACCCGGCGAGGCCCGGTACGGTCATTGCGCCCAGTCCCTCGGC